CACTGACTCGGGACCAGAACGCAGGCGAGGTGCCGAAACAGGCTTATCGGGCTACATAAACCCGGCTCCCGCAGGATGAGGGTTAATTATCTCAATGTAATCTGACGTAAATAAACAATGTGCCCCAAAAGTTGCCAGATGAAACGGTGAATCCCACACCTTTGTGGAAATCACGATCTCATCAGTTGGCATGTATGACTCACGTTAAGAAAGATAGAAAGGGAGAGAGAGAGAGAGCTTGCGAATGAAGGAATAAGATTTTATAATATCCCACTCTCATCGTGTAAGAATGATAGATGATTAGAGTGGTAAAATAAAGAATAGCTTTCTGTTTCACTCTGAGAGTTAATTTCATACTCAGTTTTAAATTGATCTTGTAAAATTTTTTTACAACAGTATTGAGTGCCTTCATGTATTTTTAAGCGTATCAGGCCTCTATAATAATTAAAGAAAACACACTGCCTGACAACCATGAATACAATATTCAATATATGGCGTTTCATAAAGCCAACTGATTAAATCATGAATTCACTATCGCATCAGGCGAGATTAAAAAACGCAAATCGTGAATCCCACACTTTTTTGAAAGAATGACTATCTTGTACAATAAGTATTATTTCCAAAAGGCACAGGACTGGATTTATCAATTTAGTTATGTCTTGGACCTAAATTATGATGGAGAAAATCATTTTTTCCCCTCTCCTATAAAATTTGCCTTGAGCGAAATTCACAATTGAATAAGGCGACCGACGATATCTGGTATTTTCACTGGATGGAGTCTCCCAGAGTAATTAGACATTACAGTGTTGCTATCACCGGCTCAGAGTTATAGTTATAGGTGAGTATATATTTAATATATTATAGATCTAGTTCGTTAAAAAAAAAGGAATTTTAATTGGCAAGGTGCTCCAAGGATTTGTTTTTCTTTCGGTGATGTTGAAGTTTAAGTCATGTCAACAAATTTCATTTGAAGGTGTGTAGATCTAGTTTAATTATCGTTCGTTACAACACAACGCAAGCAGGAATTGATGTTCCAAAAAAGACAGAAAAATCCCCAATTCAGGACCTTTTCTTGCATGTCACCAGGAGGGAAAACAGACAAAGCCATGGCGACTGTTCCAACTTGCTAGAGGGAAAACGAAACACATGGAAAATTTACAGGTTCAAACTTCTGTCATTGAGTGTAGGGAGGAAAGCACTATGACTATGAGCACATATCAATATTTACTGCTGTGACAAAGTAAGACAACCAACCACACAGACAGTTCTTACTAGATCTAGATCTAGATCTAGATCTACAACTTAAACTGTTGATGACTGCAGGCACCAAACACAAAGTGGGGAAGGAAACTGTGTGTGGTGAAACAAAACAATTTAAATGATGAATGACATTGAACAATTTTTAAAAAAATCTGCTGGCCTTCTAGAGTTGGCAATTTAATTAATTTTTTTTTTTAGGGGGGGGGGGAGGGGGCTTTGGTGTATAGATCTAGATTTAGATCTAGCCTATATCTAATCTAGATCTAGATTCTAAATCAAATCTGGTAAAGGGAAAAAAAAATGAGTCAACAAAATTTGATTTTTTAAACATTCATATAATTTGAGCATTGCAGAGTCTATTGTTCTAACTTATTAATCTATAATAAAAACTAGGCCTAGGCTATTTTTATAGTCATAAAGTTCCAAGCGTCTCGAGCCCTAACCCTCTTCTGTTACTCTAGTACAGTCTTATTTCGGGAGGAATTCCGTAACGAGCGAGTTACTATGAAACAGCTAGAGTTGCGAGTAGGACAGAGGGTTAAGGTTTGGGGTAGGGGTAGGGTTAGGGGTAGGATTAGGGTTAGGGTAAGGGGTAGGGTAGGTTTCTTCTTTATTGTATTTGCGAGGGTGGCTGCTCGTATGGAAGTCCTTCCCTACTTAGTTCTAGAAATCTACTTCACTTCAAAATAGTGGTAGATCTCTAGAGAATCTAGGTTTTGTAGTTGTTGTAGTAGCGACGATACAGAATTCTTCCAGATTAGGCATTAGGAAGAAGGCAACTCAAGTGCCTTGCTAAATACAACGTCTTAATGATTTAATAAAGCTCTTTAATTTGGACTTGACTTATTATTAAAAAGCATAATAATTGCCTTTTAAAATTTATGGCACGCTTTTTGGCCGGCACGGACCTGGGTTCTGACAGTGACAGTCACAGTGCACACCAGCCATGTTCGACTGAAATAGAGATCGAGCAGGCTCACTTTGCAAAAAACAGCAACCACAAACTCAAACTTACCAACAACACCACCACAAACATGTTCATTCATTAGAAACCCGTGTTTTGCTCTTCTTCAACTCCAAACTCAGAACTCCAAATCCGCGGTGGTTGTCCACGATCGAGGGGAAGTCACTCTTGAAAAGTGAAAAATAACCAAGGACTTATGCTATAAGATCTAGCCTACAATCATCATCAATTTATTTATGTCAGATCGGAAGCAGACATCAGCTGTCGTGGTTCGCCACTTGTAGCCCGGCACAGATACTCTAGGGGAAAACAGCAACAACAAAACAGATATTATTATTGTCTTGGTCTCTCTCTGACATCCACTTGTGTAAGAGCTCTCAGTAAGCTATTCTTTATAATTTGAAGCAAAAACCCTGCATCAACAGCAGTGTACAGCGGAGCGCCAACGCCATTGCACGTAGCCTGAACGCTTCCAAGCAGACACGTAAGTTACCTTGTTGTTGTGAATGGATCGGCTTTAGCTTGCTCACTTTCGTCTGGCCGCAGTTAAAACAAAATAAAAACAAATTAATTGCTCTGTTTAATCTCATCAGGTCTTTTCATGCAGGTCTAAAAGCTGAATGATCAACAGAATCTAAAAGCCCTTTAAGTAAAGATCACTGTAAACCAAGGTTCCGACACGGTTTCTTTGATTTACGCCCAAAGCGGCTAAACAAAAATAATTGAAGGTTTACAGCATACACTGACTTGAAATATAAAATATAAAGGTTGACATATTTTCACAAACTCCACACTTCAACGTACACCTTAGGGTCTCAACAGACGAGCTACAATTGTCGCGCAGAAACTTCAGCCACGTACGGGACGACATTTAACGCTACTGCTAAGTTTGACATGGTCGATCGGAGAGTCAGGGTGGTTTTGATCATGGTGATGAGAACAATCTTATAAAAAAGGAGGCAGCAAAGAAGATTTTGAGTTCCTCCCATTGTTTCTCATATATTACTAAGAGGACAGTTTCACACCTAATATAAAGAACTTAAAGAGCCCAAATTCTTCAAGTACTTGCATCATTATATTCTAGTGTGAGTGCAAGGCAAACATCTATCCCAGCATCATTTTAAAAAAAAAAGTTTTTATATTCCTCACTTGTTTTGTCCTAAATTATGTTTCTGCTCTTCATTTCCAAAATCAAACGCTTTTTAAAAAAAAATGTTTTACGGCGCTGACAACTGCATACGGTCATATATGAGCGCGCGGGACACACTTAAC